TAGTGTTACAAGAAGGTTGGGGTCAGAGGCACCTCAGGACAAAGGAGGTTCTGAAGGGAAGCTCTGCAGGAGGTTCAAGGGAAAACTGCTTCCCCGAGGAGACAGATCCAGCCTCCGTGAAGCATTTCACCTGTCTGGGTCTCAGCTGTTACTCGAAGTGGTGTAGATACCTAGCCTATACGGTTCCGTTAGAGCCTGGAGAAGGGACACTCCCACCCCCGGTAAGAGACACTAGAACACAAACCCCAGGGCCACCCCAAGACCTCCTCAGGTCTGAGAGTCAGATGCTCAGGTTCATGCTGCCACGGTCCCCCGCAGCCAGCTCACTTCAGAGGAGGAGAAGGGCAGGGAAAGTGCCAAGATGGGAGAGAGGCTACCAGGATGCAGACACCAGGGCTGAGGGCAGAGGGAGAGGCACTTGGCATCCAGCCCCGGGCAGAGCTGGAGCCAGGCCAGCCCTGGCAGCTGCAGGACCTCTGTAGGGCAAAGGGGAGTGGGAAGGAGCAGGGGAGGGGAGTGGCTCCCTGAGCACACCTGTGTGCTGTCTCCAGCCAGGCTCCGTGTGTGGGCCCCAGGCCTCCGCGCAGCCTCCTGAAGAGCCAGGCCCTTTGCAGGGAAGCAACTTGGAAAGATTGAGACTTCCCTCAGTCCTGACTACCCTCCCACATTGGTCTCAGCCTCAGCAGGCCTATTTTCTTCACCTGCCCGATAACTGGGCAGTGTTGGTGCTCACCTATCTTTCCTGCCCAAGCTGCCGTTCCATATGCTTGGCATTCACTCCCTCGTGGATGGGTTCTGCATGTCCTTTAGTAACCGCAGAGGGCTTTGAGTGGCCTCACTGAAAGGAAAGCTGTGGGCCTCCACGCACCACCTCGCCTGGGGCCCCGGATGGCATGGCGAATGCCATGGGAACAGCCAGGTAAAAGTTCTGACTTTGAGCCAGTCTCTTTCCATTTAAGCCTCTATTTTCTGATCTGTAGACTGGGAAAGGCTGTCCTGCCTTCTTCCCAGGGTTGCTTTGAGGCTAGAATAACAGCAGAGTGAGTCCAGGCTTGGACGGCAGGGCCGGCAGGACTAAGCAAGCCAGCATCTCTGAGCCTCAGTTTGCTCAGGCCGAAGCAGAGGAGGCAAGCAGCTACCTGGAGGGAAAGCTGTGAGAATCAGATGGGGTCGGACATGCAAGCCTCCCCTACGGGTCCTCGGTCATCCCTGCCTCCTACCTCATGCATCAGGGTCCCCTGGCATCTAACCTCTACCTGGAAGTCTTATCGCAGCTAACAGTTTTGTTGAGTCACGAGGAATGTTCATCCATTTGGGAGAAAGAGTGAGAAGCGACAAGAAGTGAGGAGAAGTGAGGAGACCTCCCTTTCCTCGCTCCAGAGCGGAACGCCTGTGCTCCTTCTCCCACTCCCACCACCAGGCCATTCCTAGTCCACCTCGCAAACAGATGGTCTCTCCTCACTTTGCGCCCCGACTTGTCAGCGCCCTCCCTTGGACGTTGACCATCCGTCTTGCCCCACCGTTACTCATGGCATGCCTGGTGCTCACCAGAGAGATTCAGAGAAAGGGAGAAAGCATTCCCCCAATGGGGTATAGTCACACCATCAATCCCTTTTCCTTCATTTCTTCATCCTGTCAGAATCTGGGCATGCAAGCACACATTCCTGGCATGTTCTTCAAAGGGCCAGAATTTAGACTGCACAGTTATCCATGTGGGTTCAGCTCTCTTAACCAGTAGGTTACAGGTTCAACACTTTTGCTCTTTTGTAAAGAAGTATTTTTTGCAAAATTCAGCATTTCTCTGAAGAAGTGACTTCGTTCCCCATTTTTATGGTCTACAAAAGTCACAGAAAAAGTGGCTACTGCTCTTACTGGAGTTTCAGCCCATGCTAGGGTTGATATCTAAAATTTCTGTCCCACAATATGCAAGCAGTACTTTGAACTGCATCTGATACAGCTTGGTGGTCCAGGTCATTACTTGTCATGTTCAGGAGATGGAAATACAGGGCTTTGGTTTGGTAGCTACTACCCTTCAACCAGCTCTTGGTTATTTGGAAATTGGTGATAATTCTGTCCAAAGCCTGCTGCTTCTGTGGCAATACATTGTCCAACCTGGACTATGTGTTCACTATTCACCCATTCAGATACATGGGCTGGGTATAACATTCAGCCTGTTCTTGGTTCCTGACATGCTCAAGCTAACCATAATGTTCCCAACTTCTGTTCCATGTCATGGAAGACATTAATTACCAAGACATTAATTCTTATTGGAACAAATGTAAACCAAAGTGCAAGGCCATGAGAGTTTGTTGCAGTATGCTGAACTCATTTTTGGAAGAATTTAAGTGGCATAATCAATTTAGAAATAAGGCTTTAGAGTCTTTCACTCCAGATAGTAGAATGATTTCCTCTTAACTCATTTGGGGTTTTGACTTTTGATTTTAGTATCTTTTTTATTCATTTAACTTTATTTATTTATTTATTTATATTTTTAATTTGACCAGAGAGAGGGAGAAAGTGAGAAAGCAAGCCACTAGGTCCGGGACTCAAACCATGATCGGTTATATGGGAGTGTCCAGCACTTTAACCACCATGCCACCTGCTGGTGTCAGTTTTAGTATGTTTTAGTACAAACATCTAAGGATAAATCCTTCAATTGAATATACAATTGACAAATTATTCAATTGATTCATAATTTAAGTATAATAAGAATATATTTAGATAGCCTTACCAAATAAATAAATAAATAAATAAATAAATAAATAAAACAGTCTGCATCCAAGATGAATTAACAGTTCTGTTGAGTCACGAGAAAAGTTTATTTCATTTATTCGAGAGGAATAGAGTGTGAAGTAATTTAACTCAGCAGACTGTACACCTCAGGAAGCAGGATTAGCAGGTCTCTCACTGTACCAGTGACTAGAAATGGGATGCATATGCAATTGGGAGCAAGTCTGGTTCCTGCCAGAGCTTCAGTTTCCATGTCTACACAGTAAAGACACCACCAGCAGCCCTGCTTATCATCTGATACAGAGGGAGAGATAAGGGGCAGGATAGGAAGTGATCTGTTTTTACAGGCCAACTTAAGCCTAGACAGGGTGGCATTACCTAGGCTTCTCACTTCCCAGTGCAGAAAGGTGCTTGCAGCCTGGCCTGATAGCACAGGGTTCACCTGCCTTCTCTGGCTTCTCTCTACAGCCTCCTCCTTGCACTGAAGCCCAGGACTGTGGAGCAGCCTCTCTCCCTGAACCTCTGCTGGGCCCCAGACACTGGGGGCAAAGCCTTCCAGGACATGGTTGGCCTGAATCCTTCCGAAGTTCCTCCCACAATAGCTGTGAAGTTCCTGGGGGCAGGCACAGCAGCCTGCTTTGCGGACCTCCTTACCTTCCCACTGGACACGGCTAAGGTCCGCCTGCAGGTAAATGCCTTTTGGCTAGGGGTCCTTGTTCTCCACCACAGGACTGTCTGCCAGCATGGCCTTGCTCACACAGAACCAGACAGGGCTGCTTACCCCTCTGGTTAGTTTTCTTTCCTGCCTCCTCCTCCCCATCACCTTCCTCCAGACAAAAATAAACCTAAATTCTGAGCCAGCAGGTGGCGTGGTGGTTAAGGCACTAGACTCTCTCAGGGCCAACTATGGTTTGAGTCCTGGACCTCGTGGCTTGCGTTCTCACTTTCTTAGTCTCTCTCTCTCGTGCATGCATGCACATACCCTAAAGCAAATAAAATAATAATAATAATAAACAAAATTAAATAATTCTTTAAAAATAAATAAATAGGGAACCAGTAGTTAGCGTAATGGCTATGTCACTGGACTCCCACGTAGTCGACCGCAGTTCACGTCCCAGACCCGGTGGCTTAAAACTCATGCCGGGCGCGTGTGCGTGCGTGCCCAAGATCCCGAGAGGAGAATGGAAGAGAAGGGATTGTGGCGTGACCATCCCCCCTGGGGGGTGATTTCTCGTTTTCTGTCTCTATGTCTTTCTCTCTGTCTGTCTGGCGAGCGCACGCGCCCTATAGCGAAAAACCTCTCTAAATAAATAAATAAATAAATAAATCTAAATTCCTCGGCCAGTGATAAATCCCAGGGCCCTCATGGCCTCACCCTACTTTGTAAACCATAGCAGACGAGGTAGAGGTGAAGAATTAGCAGTGTGACCTTGAACAAACCACTGACCATCTATAAAACGGGAAACACATGCTCCTCCCACCCTGTTTGCTCTGAGCACCAAACCCCACCCCGGGAATGACTGCTCTATGAACTGCAGAAGGCTGCACAAAGCTGTGACGTGTGTACTGTGATATGACAGCGTAATCGTCATGCTTATTCTCAAGGTCCCGGGGGGCCAGCCCCTGGTAGTGTCCGTGCACACACAGCCCCTGTCCACCACCTACTTGCCTGGCCCCTCAAGTCACTCTGTTCCTCAGATCCAAGGGGAGAAGCAGGCGTCCCAGGCGGCCCCGAGTGTGCAGTACCGTGGCGTGCTGGGCACCATCCTGACCATGGTGCGCACCGAGGGCCCCCGCAGCCCCTACAACGGGCTGGTTGCTGGCCTGCAGCGCCAGATGAGCTTCGCGTCCATCCGCATCGGCCTCTACGACTCTGTAAAACAGTTCTACAGTAATTTAACTCAGCAGACTGTACACCTCAGGAAGCAGGATTAGCAGGTCTCTCACTGTACCAGTGACTAGAAATGGGATGCATATGCAATTGGGAGCAAGTCTGGTTCCTGCCAGAGCTTCAGTTTCCATGTCTACACAGTAAAGACACCACCAGCAGCCCTGCTTATCATCTGATACAGAGGGAGAGATAAGGGGCAGGATAGGAAGTGATCTGTTTTTACAGGCCAACTTAAGCCTAGACAGGGTGGCATTACCTAGGCTTCTCACTTCCCAGTGCAGAAAGGTGCTTGCAGCCTGGCCTGATAGCACAGGGTTCACCTGCCTTCTCTGGCTTCTCTCTACAGCCTCCTCCTTGCACTGAAGCCCAGGACTGTGGAGCAGCCTCTCTCCCTGAACCTCTGCTGGGCCCCAGACACTGGGGGCAAAGCCTTCCAGGACATGGTTGGCCTGAATCCTTCCGAAGTTCCTCCCACAATAGCTGTGAAGTTCCTGGGGGCAGGCACAGCAGCCTGCTTTGCGGACCTCCTTACCTTCCCACTGGACACGGCTAAGGTCCGCCTGCAGGTAAATGCCTTTTGGCTAGGGGTCCTTGTTCTCCACCACAGGACTGTCTGCCAGCATGGCCTTGCTCACACAGAACCAGACAGGGCTGCTTACCCCTCTGGTTAGTTTTCTTTCCTGCCTCCTCCTCCCCATCACCTTCCTCCAGACAAAAATAAACCTAAATTCTGAGCCAGCAGGTGGCGTGGTGGTTAAGGCACTAGACTCTCTCAGGGCCAACTATGGTTTGAGTCCTGGACCTCGTGGCTTGCGTTCTCACTTTCTTAGTCTCTCTCTCTCGTGCATGCATGCACATACCCTAAAGCAAATAAAATAATAATAATAATAAACAAAATTAAATAATTCTTTAAAAATAAATAAATAGGGAACCAGTAGTTAGCGTAATGGCTATGTCACTGGACTCCCACGTAGTCGACCGCAGTTCACGTCCCAGACCCGGTGGCTTAAAACTCATGCCGGGCGCGTGTGCGTGCGTGCCCAAGATCCCGAGAGGAGAATGGAAGAGAAGGGATTGTGGCGTGACCATCCCCCCTGGGGGGTGATTTCTCGTTTTCTGTCTCTATGTCTTTCTCTCTGTCTGTCTGGCGAGCGCACGCGCCCTATAGCGAAAAACCTCTCTAAATAAATAAATAAATAAATAAATCTAAATTCCTCGGCCAGTGATAAATCCCAGGGCCCTCATGGCCTCACCCTACTTTGTAAACCATAGCAGACGAGGTAGAGGTGAAGAATTAGCAGTGTGACCTTGAACAAACCACTGACCATCTATAAAACGGGAAACACATGCTCCTCCCACCCTGTTTGCTCTGAGCACCAAACCCCACCCCGGGAATGACTGCTCTATGAACTGCAGAAGGCTGCACAAAGCTGTGACGTGTGTACTGTGATATGACAGCGTAATCGTCATGCTTATTCTCAAGGTCCCGGGGGGCCAGCCCCTGGTAGTGTCCGTGCACACACAGCCCCTGTCCACCACCTACTTGCCTGGCCCCTCAAGTCACTCTGTTCCTCAGATCCAAGGGGAGAAGCAGGCGTCCCAGGCGGCCCCGAGTGTGCAGTACCGTGGCGTGCTGGGCACCATCCTGACCATGGTGCGCACCGAGGGCCCCCGCAGCCCCTACAACGGGCTGGTTGCTGGCCTGCAGCGCCAGATGAGCTTCGCGTCCATCCGCATCGGCCTCTACGACTCTGTAAAACAGTTCTACACCCCGAAAGGAGCAGACAGTGAGTGCTGGGGCCCCAAGGCATGGACACCAAAGGGGGTGGTGGAAGCGTGTGTGTCAGGACCCAGAATAACCAGGCTCAGAGGCAGAGGTGGGCATGGGACACTGGTTATTGACGCTGGGGGAGACTCCCAGGGCCCTCTAGGACTCCAGAGCCCCACCCCAGGGAGAGCACAGGCACCCACAGTGGCAGCCCACAACAGCGTCCTCTCAGGGAGGACAGACGCCCACTCCCTCTGCTTCTCCCAGACACCAGCGTCACCACCCGGATTTTGGCGGGCTGTACCACGGGGGCCATGGCGGTGACCTGTGCCCAGCCCACTGATGTGGTGAAGGTCCGATTTCAGGCCAGCGTGCAGCTGGGGCCCGGGAGCGACAGGAAGTACAGCGGGACTATGGATGCCTACCGGACCATCGCCAGGGAGGAAGGGGTCCGGGGCCTGTGGAAAGGTAGGTCTGGACTCCAGGCTGGAGGTTGGGTGACCCAAGGCAGAGCTTAACCCCCCCCCCAGGGGCTGTGCCAAAAACCCACAAGGAGGAAGCTCCCAGTGTGGTGTATTCCAGTGATTCCAAACTAGCTCCCCCAAAAAAGACCCCATGGCCGGCTGCTGTGAGGAGCTGAGATAAAAGTAAGGCGCTGTCTGCCTCAGGGCACTGACAGACATGCAGAGCAGATGAGACACTCAAGGAGCAGCCCTGTCATGGGCAGGATGTGCCAGGTGACACCCAGAGATGGGAGAGACAGACCATGCTGGCCCCGGAGAGCTGACACCAGCTGGGCCTCGAAGGCCAAGCAGGCTCCAGCACATGGAGGTGGAAGGGAACAGCCTTCAAGCGGACACACAGGGAAATGGTGGCATCAGGAGTGGACTGTGAGGAGCGAGAGAGTCCCTCTTGCATAGCCTCGTCTCCCTCGTTCAGAGAGTGACTTCCTTTTCTGGTCTCAGGGAGGCACATTTTCATTTTGACAACCAGGCAGATCATCTTGCAAAAGGTGGCCAAATGGCCACGAGTGGGCCTCTCTGTCTTCTGACTCTAAAGAGGTCATGAGTGATCTGAGCCTTGTTAACTCTGGGAGGAAGAGTGTGGGAATGGCTCTGCTTAGGGGGATCTCTGGCTGAGACCGTTAGAATGGGGCCCCCTCCAAACCGGGGCCGGGAGCCTTGAAACAGGGTATCAACTTCTCCCATTCCTCTTTCATCAACCCTCACCACCACCACCTACCAGGAACTTGGCCCAACATCACAAGGAATGCCATCGTCAACTGTGCTGAGATGGTGACCTACGACATCGTCAAGGAAAAGCTGCTGGACAACCACTTGCTCACCGGTGAGCCTGGGTCTGGGCACATAGCACTTCCTAGGCGGGGAGGGAACATGGGCTTCTGTGGTTAGAGGACACTGCCCAGAGGCAACTGGGCACTAGCACGAGTGGAGAGAGGAGCAGTAAAATGCACCTGGCACTGCACTGTGACGAGCAGGAAAGAGGCCTGGGCTGGAAGGCCAGAGCTGCTTCCGGTCCAGAGGTCTCTCATTTTCCTTGCCTCAGTTTCCCCAATCCAGTTGGCTAGGCGGGTTGGCCTTCCAGCTCTGATGGCCCAGGTCTAGTTTTCCAGTACTTACCAAAAGCCAACCCTGGCACTGTGAGAGACGCGGGAGAGCTACCCTCATATGCAAGGAGTGCAGGCCTAGCTGGGCCAAGCACTGGTAATGTGGGACAGAACACAACGCATTCCCTGATGTCTGCTCTCCCCCTCCCTCCTACAGACAACTTCCCCTGCCACTTCGTCTCTGCCTTTGGAGCTGGCTTCTGTGCCACAGTGGTGGCCTCCCCAGTAGACGTGGTGAAGACGCGGTACATGAACTCTTCCCCAGGCCGGTACCGTAGCCCCCTGGACTGTATGCTAAAGATGGTGGCCCATGAGGGCCCCACAGCCTTCTACAAAGGGTGAGCCTTCCCCTCCTGCCTACTGCACTCTCTCCCAGAGAACTCAGCCTTCTTCCTTTCTTTCTTATATTTTTTGTTTTTATTTATATATATATATATATATTTTTTTTTTTTTGTAGATATTTTTCCATAAGGCATGTGTGCTCACCAGAGAGAGACAGAAAGAGAGAAAGTGAGAAATCACCCCCTTGGGGGATTGGCCATGCCACAATCCCTTCTCCTTCTCTTCCATCTTCCTTTTCTTTCTTTTTTTTTTTTTAGAATTATTTTATTTAATTTTATTCATTCTTTCATTTGTTTTCATTTGACCAGAAAGAGACACAAGCAGGGGGTGAGCAAGGAAGCCACCGGGTCCAGGTTGTGAACTGTGGTCGGCCATGCGGGAGTGTCCAACACCTTAACCAGCACCTGCTGGTCCCTTTCTTTTCTTTTTTTAAAAGTATATCTATTTATTGGGTTATCAGATAAAGAAATGACACGTTTTTGCATTAAAAACAACAAAGAGAAAAAAATATGTCATGACTTCCAACAACCCAATTTTTCTTTCATGTGAGAGAGAGAGAGAGAATACCTCCACCAACAGGGTCCTGATGTCACAATCCACCCCCAGCCTTCAGCCAGCCCCAGATCATGGGGAAGCACATGCCCAGAGTACTCAAGGAGGGAACCTTCCCATGTAGGATCGCCTCTCGGAGTGTCGTGTTTCACCGCGCACCCACCCCTGCCCCCAGCCCGGCTTCTTTCTTTTCTAATATGCCTACCGTGGGTGAATCTGATGACATAGCTGTGACCAATACAGATGTAAATGCCACAAAGGAAAAGTATGGGAACAGCAACAGCAAAAAGTGAACCAAACCTGGTTTGGAGAACTAAGGAAGCCCTACCAAGAGAAAGGAGTCTAGGGCTAAGTAAAGGTAGTGCCTCCAAGCACTGCCAACAGGGGAGGAGGAGGAAAGGTGGTTGGAACTTCCCAGGCATTTCCCCAGCCTACAGCCAGCACCACTGACCTTTACACCCATGGCGGCCTCAGCATCCCGCCCACTGTCCCAGCACGCTCCCCGCTTCCTTGCCTCGCCTTGTGCATTTGCAGCTTCCTCTGCAGGATGCTGTTCCCTTGCCAACAGCAAGCGGGAGCCACCATAGATCCTGAAGCCTTGCCTCAGTTTACCCTTGTCAAGCGTTAACGAAGCATCCCATGTGTCCCAGACCCTGTGTTATGCCTCCCTCAAAGAGCAGCAGACAAGCAGGTAACATTACTGAGTGTGACTGCAACTGGACCCTGGGCTCTGTGCTCTTCCACGTTAACTCGTATTCCACACACTCGACTGTTATTTTTTCCCATTTTACAGATGAGGAAACCGAAGCGTAGGAAGATTAAGTAGTTTGTCCGTGATGTAATGTTAGAGACCTAGAAGCCAGATGGTGGCACAATGGTAATGCCACTGGGCCCGTATGGGAAGATCCTAGTTCATGTTCATGTCCCAGGGCCTCCCTATACACACCAGCTGTGCCCGCCCATGCCCAGGACTGGGTCGACTCAGCCTGGGGGATAGATCGCGATGTGGAGACTTGACGTGAGTGCTCTCACTCTCTCTTTCTGTCATCTCATGAAAGAAATAACCAAGAAAAATTTTTTAAATAAATAAATAATGGTCTGGCCTCATAGCTCAGCAGTGAAGGGAGCCGAATCCTACATGTTGGAATCTTAGCCCTGGCAACTTGAAACACTACAGGTGCATATGCATGCATGCCAAAAAATCCCACAAGGAGAATGGAGGGGGGATTGTGATATGGCCATCTCCCTTGGGGGTGCCTTCTCTCTCTCTCTCTTTCTCTCTCTTCCTCTCTTCCTTTCCCCAGTGAGCACACACACCTTCTAGCATATTAAAAAGAAAAAAATAAATAAATGGATCTCAGAAAATGCTCGTGACTAACAGGTGTAAGTCCTTTGGTCCCACTCTGTGCATGGGAGAGCACGACGGATCTATGAAGGGTCTTCAGAAAGTTCATGGGCAGCGCATATTATGAGGAGGATATGTGTGTGGATTTCAATGTTGCTTTTGGCAATTTCAATATTGTTTTTCACAAAATACTTTAAGTCCGTTTTGCTTTGAATTTTTTGAAGTCCCCTTGTATGTGTGGTCTCTGTGTCCACTCCACCTAACGGTTTCGTTATTTTCCTCCTCAGATTTACCCCCTCCTTTTTGCGGTTGGGGTCCTGGAACGTGATGATGTTTGTAACTTACGAGCAGCTGAAACGGGCCTTGATGAAAGTGCAGATGCTGCGGGAATCTCCGTTTTGAACAAGACCAGAAGGCTACTTGGTGCTTAACTCTTGCAACACCAGCGAAGGATGGGATAAAGCAGCGGACCCACATGCACCTGGACACTGACCCACCTGTGTTTACAGTGCTGTTTACTTGCTGCTGATTCAAGAAGTAGAAGAGGAGGGAGGAGTCTGGTCTTCAGTACTATATCTTACGAACACCTTAGCCGGGTCGGCCGATGGCCTGGTGGTTGCAGCAACTGAATCCCACATAGTCAACTGTGTGGTTTAAGTCCTGGACCCGGCAGCTTGAGAAACAAGCCAGACATGTGTGCACTTGTGCCCGAAATCCCGAGAGGAGAAGAAAAGGAGAAGGGATTGCAAACTGACCATTCCTCATGGGGGGTGCTTTCTCACTTTCTCTCCCTTTCTCTGTCTCTCTCTGGTGAGTGCACACATCCTCTGGCAAAATTGGCAAGCAAACAACAACAACAAAAAAAAACATTTGTTTTGCACTGACAAGATGGAGAATGAATTATATTAATTTTTGAAACTCATTAGGTTGGATGCCTAACATTTAGGCAAGAAAAACTGAGTGAAAACAGATCCATGCGGATGAAACAGAAGTTTGCAAGCTTGTGTCCCCTGCAAAACCTGATTAGACAAGGGGTTATAAAGAGGAAAGATGGAAAGCAGCTGGAGGCCAAGGGGCACCACCGACACAGCACAAAGCTCGGGGACAATGGCCTCCACAGTCACGCCTGTGCCATCAGCCTCTGTGATGTGCCCGCCGCCGTGCAGAATCCTCTGGGATTCTAGGAAACGCGAGAAGCAGGGCAGACTAAAACGAATGCCAAAGGAGCCCTGCTGGGCCGATGGGAGGCTGCAGCATGTCGATATTCCTGACGACACAGAGAATGCAGAGGGCAGCCTCCGTCTTGTTTCCTGTAAAATGGGGGTAATAACCCCTTCCCGGCCTACCTCGCCAGGGGTAAAATGAGGATCAAGTGAGAAGCGGGACAGGAAAGCACTTTCTAGAAGCAAAAGCCCACTACGAATGTAAATATAAGGACAGCGTCTTGGGCAAGAGTTTGTCAGGGCAGAGAGGACTTGCCAGGCAAGAAGATTTTGAAAGAAAAAGTCGTCTAGATGTAAGACCAAAGACACCAGGGACTTGGGAGCAGGGGTGGTGATAACGACACGAGGCAGCAGGAGCCACGCTCTCGTGAAGCCCCTGCTCCCTGACTAGACCATGCGGCACCATGAGGGCGGTAGGACTTGGGGAAAAGACAGATGCGTCTCTGAGAACTGAATTCATTTTGGAAAATTATTATGACTCAATAAAGGAGTCACACCTCGAGTGTGGGAATAAGAGCATTTTTCTGCCTTCTTTTCCGTGGACAGAGTTTTCCTTTCTCACCTCTGGCTCTCTGTCAAGATTGCACCTGCTCTGGCCCACACACCTCCACTTCCTTCTGCTGTGTCAGCCGCTCCGATTGTAGGCGAGTTACTCTCCCTTCCAGGGCTTCCGCTTCTCCCTCTGTGAAAGGCAGGCTGACCCAGATGCCTACTTCCGGACTAAGGCTGCATGTCTTTCAAATTGAGCGTGCCTGCTTCTGAGCAGCCTGTGCCAGAACTGGGTTCAGCCCTCACCTCCATCCCCTTACTAGCCGCCGAACCGCGGAATCCTTGCTGCTCACATCCTACCAGAGAAGTAGGAATAGCAATCTTTACCCCACAGCCTTGTCAGAAAGGCTTATCTGAAGCACCTTGGGCTTTAGGAAGCACTCAGTAGTGTCATTCCCCTTCTTCCCACCCACTCCTCTGCCCTGGGAAAAAGCAAATATCCATTCATCCTCAGCACTTACCAGATTGCCTGGAACATTACAAGGTGAATGAGTGAAGTAAATGAATGGATGATTTTTTAAGTTTTTTTTAATTGTTATAAAATACACATAACATAAGCCACCCTGGCCATTTTAAATGTATAGTTCCGTGGCATTAAGTATGTGTTACACAATATATTGATTTACACTATTCTGCAGCCGTCACCACCATCCATCTCCAGAACATTTTTTAAAAGAATTATTTATTTAACTTTATTTATTCATTTATTCATCTTCAATTTGACCCGAGAGAGAGAAAGGGAAAGTGAGAAAGCAAGTCTCCAAGTCCGGGACTTGAACAGCACTCAGCCACATGAGAGTCCAGCGCCCCTAACCACCACACCACCTGCTGGCCCCACACTGTTTTCTAGAGCAGATGCACCATTTTACTCCCTCCCAGCAGCACACAAGAGTTCCGGTTTCTCTGCACCCTCATCAACACTGCTTTCTGTCTTTTGATGTAGCCGTACTGATCATGGGAGATGATCTCTCATCACAGTTTTGATTTGCTTTTCGCTAATGGATGGTGACCATTAAGTATCTCTTCATGTGCTTGTTGACCATTCATATATCCTCTTTAGAGGAATGCCTATGTCCATTGCTCATTGTTGACTAAAAATTAAATGAGAATTGAAGAACTATCAATACAAGTTCATGCCACTTGGGCGAATATCACAAGCACACTGGGTGAGTGAAAAACACAAAATACTACATACTCCATAAAAGCATTTATATAATGTTTAAGAACAAGAAAATAAACACTTAATCTTAAAAACCAGGATGGGACAGGACAGTGGCGTGGTGGTAAAACGTGATGCTCTTCACTCTCCGAGGCAGGCTCACAGAGGTGGAGTGCTGGTTCTTTTCTGGAGACCTGCCTGAACAAGCTGGGCATGTATGTGTCCATGGTCCAGGCTGGCTGAAGCTCAGGGGGTGAGTCGCAGTGTCGAGACCATGTCAGAGGTGCTATATCTCTCCCTCTCTCTCTCTCTCTTCCTCTCTCTCTCTCTCTGTCTATCCTACCCAAAGAATGAAGAAATTAAAACTTTTTTTTTAAAAAATCAGGAGTGGGGCCAGCAGGTGGTGTGGTGGTTAAAGGGGCTGAACTCCCACATGGCTGACCACAGTTCAAATCCCAGACCTGGTGACTTGCTTTCTCACTTTCCCTCTCTCTCTCTCTCGCTCTGTCTCTCTATAGTCAAATTAAAATAAATGAAGAAATAAATGAAATTAAATAATTCTTTTTTAAAAAGCAGGATAGTTGTCATTCTTTAGGTGAATAGTGACTGAAGGGACACACGGGATCATTTCTGTGGTGTTAATGTTCTTCATGTATATTTGCATTATATAGGGGTATTTGCTTTACAGAAGTCTATTGAACTGCACACTTAAAATTTGTCCACTGTTTTATATGATGCTTTATAAAGTATAAGGTTTACTTTAAAAGTGCACTTACCTTGAAGAGACTGATAATCTCTAGCAAGTGCCTATGTGTGTGGACAGAGGTGAGGAGAGTTGTTAGCCTGTCAAAGATCCGAGGAAGGGTGTTCCAGGCAAAGGGAACAAGCAGTCTACAGGCCCTAAAATGGAGTGAACTTGGCATATTCATAGATCAGGAAAAAAGCCACTCCCTGGGGCTGGAGTGAAGTGAATGAGAAGACAAATGTGCATTCATTCATTTATTCATTCATCAGGTATGTAAGAGTGGTGCCAGAGGCTGAGAAGTCAGAGGACAGCCAATTGTTTGAAAAGTTTGGCAGAACAAGGCAGGAGAAAAAATAGCTATCATAGAAGGGGCAGGAAGATCCCAAGGGTTCCTTTCAGTTCACACACACACACACACACACACACACACACTCAAGCAATGAAAGGAAAGATTGAAGCACGAGTCTAGAGGAAACAGCAGTGGATAAAATAAGGGGTATGGGTAGGAGAGATCACTCTGGAAAGGATATGAGAAACCTAGAAATGATAGAGTCATTAAAGTAAAACCTGAAATGGAGGGAAGCAAAATTTAAAAACTCTACAATCTTTTTTTTGAGAGGTTTTTCACTACAGGGCGCGTGCACTCGCCAGACAGACAGACAGAGACATAGAGACAGAAAGAGAGAAATCACCCCCCAGGGGGGATGGTCACGCCGCAATCCCTTCTCCTCCATTCTCCTCTCGGGATCTTGGGCACGCACGCACATGTGCCCGGCGTGAGTTCTAAGCCACCAGGTCCGGGACCCGAACCGCAGTCGACTACATGGGAATCCAACGACATAGCCATTATGCTAACTGCTGGTTCCCACGATCTTTTAATTCTATGATCTTTTCAGGGACATTCAAGGAATGGTCACATGTAAGAAAGGTCACATGTGGGCCTGGAGAGTTATAAGATGGAAACTTTCTGTGGCCTAAAATATAAGAAATCTGGAACCTCTGATGCTGTGTCTTCTGTTCTCTGCCATGCTGACCTCCAAGAGCTCTGACGTGGGGCAGTGTGGACACTCTTTATCATTTATTAGATATTATGGAAAAAACCTGAACATAATGCCATTTTCATATTATACTGGGATTATGGAGAACATTTTGAACAATGAGAAAAGTTAAACTCATTGCCCAACTTGACTGGGCTAATTAAATTTCTTGGCATAGGGACCAGCAGATGGCATAATGATGACGTCACTAGACTCCCACATAGTTGACCATGGTTCAAGTCCTGGACCCGGCGGCTTAAAACTCATGCCAGATTCATGTGCATGTGTGTCCAAAATCCTGCGAGGAGAATGTAGGAGAAGGGATTCTGGTATGGTCATCCCCCACCCCGGCGGGGGGGGGGTGATTTCTTTTTGTCTCTTTGCCTCTGTCTCTCCAGCAAGCAAACACACCCTATAACAAAAATCTCTCTAAAATAAAATAAATTTCTTGGCATAAAAAGACACTAGTACCTTGCCGGCTTTCACAAGTTCTGCCTCTTTGGGCCAGACCAATGGAAATCTCTTCATTAATTTTGTCTGTCAATCTCAAAAAAATAAAAGGAACCCCAATATGCGATCACCCCGAGAAAGGCATGTATGCCTCCTCTCAGGGCCTAGGTCACTCATATTCTGCTTGGAAATAAACTGCATTAATTATTAATTTTTAGAGTTTGTTATTTTTTGTCGACAAGATGGTGACCATAAAGGGACCAGAGACACACCGGAGATCTTCCAAGGAGATGCTTCTAACCCGGTGCCTGATAACAGCAGTGGGCTCCTTGTGCCCCCTCCAGCTCCAAGCCTCTACTTGGGGGAGATTCGAGATCAAAGGGGAAGCTGAGACACTTCCTTGGACGTCTTGTGAACATCAGAAAATATGGAGGGTTAGAAGAAGACCAAGGGATTTGATGTTTACATGTGCTTCCATGGAATCCGGCCAGTGTTCACTTGGAAACAGAAACAGACCTTGGCAAGAGATTGTCCCCAAGCAGTGAAGAAGCTATTAAAGATGCTTCAGTGCAAGAAACTCTGCCGGCAGCATCACCTGTGGATCCTCGGCTGCTACACCTTGCTGGCCATTGTGGCTCTGAGACTGTCTCTGAGATTGAAATGTGACTTTGACCACTTGGATTTACAGTCCAGGGAATTTCAAAGCCAATGCTGTAGGAATCTCTTGTACGAGTCCCTGAAGTTGCCGGCAAAGAGGTCTGTCAACTGTTCGGGGGTCACCCGAGGAGACCAGGAAGCCGTGATTCAGGCTCTTCTAAATAACCTGGAGGTCAAGGAGAAGCGGCAGCCCTTCACAGATGCCGACTACCTTCACATGACCAGAGACTGTGAGCGCTTTAAGGCCCAGAGGAAGTTCATCCAGTTCCCACTGAGCAAAGAAGAGCTAGACTTCCCTATTGCATATTCTATGGTGGTTCACGAGAAGATTGAAAACTTTGAGAGGCTGCTGCGAGCTGTGTACGCCCCTCAGAACATATACTGCATCCACGTGGACAGAAAGTCCCCAGAAACTTTCCAAGAGGCAGTCAAGGCCATTATATCATGCTTCCCAAATGTCTTCTTAGCCAGTAAGCTGGTGAAGGTGGTTTATGCCTCCTGGTCCAGGGTGCAGGCTGACCTGAACTGCATGGAAGACTTGCTTCAGAGCTCAGTGCCCTGGAAGTACTTCCTGAACACATGTGGGACAGACTTTCCTATAAAGACCAATGGCGAGATGGTCCAGGCCCTCAAGGTATTGAATGGGAAGAACAGCATGGAGTCAGAGATACCCAGTAGGCTCAAAAAGAACCGCTGGAAATATCAATACGTGGTGACAGACACATTGCACATGACCGGCAGGAGGAAGGACCCTCCTCCTAATAACTTAACCATGTTCACAGGGAATGCCTACATGGTGGCTTCTCGAGACTTCATCCAGCAAGTCTTACAGAACCCCAAATCCCAACAACTGATTGAATGGGTAAAAGACACCTATAGCCCCGATGAACACCTCTGGGCCACCCTTCAGCGTGCACCCTGGATGCCTGGCTCTGTACCCTACCACCCTAAGTACGATGTCTCAGACATGACCGCCATCGCAAGGCTGGTCAAGTGGGAGGAACACGAGGGAGACGTCAATGATGGTGCTTCCTATGCACCTTGCTCTGGAATCCACCAGCGGTCTATCTGTATCTACGGGGCTGGGGATCTGTGCTGGATGCTTCAGAACCATCACCTGTTGGCCAACAAGTTTGACCCCAATGTGGACGATAATGCTCTTCAGTGCCTAGAAGAGTACCTACGTCACAAGGCCATCTACGGGACAGAACTCTGAGATGCACTCTGACAGGAATATGTGCAGACATCGCAGACATGCCCAGAACTTGCTGAGGCTATGGAGGGGGTAGAATGAGGTGGGGAGACCAGGGCTTTGAAATCCAGGGCATCCCCCAGGATAAGAGGGCTGCTTTTGGGTAAGTGGATCCATGGCCTTGAAAACTGTTGCTTGCCTCCTCGGCCCTCTCCCCAGAAATTTTTCTACTGACTTTCTTCCAGAGTGAGAATAAGAACCACTGTTAGAGTAAGGAAAGGGGTGTGGCGGGGGACCCTGGATTTCAGGTTAAGGCCTGGAGTCAGCCTTTCTACTCTGGAGATGCTCTTTGAGTAATCTAGGCTTGGCAGTACAGAGGGGGACTTTGATGCCAAGAGAGCCTTCTGTTTTATACTTGTTGAATTTAAAAATAAATAACTTTTTATTAAAAAAAAAAAAAAAAAAGACACTAGTACCTTGATACTGTGAACCAGGTGAAGATCATCCTAAGTTTTTCTTTCTGTGATATGAAGAATGGTCACATATGCCAACGTGGCCAGTGGAAATTGCCACAGAATGGTGGGGGTGTAGGCTGGGTGGATCACAATGACATAAAGATATGCACTTGGCCTGAAAAATATGCTAGCGGAGGGAACCAGCAGTTAGCGTGTTGGCTATGTCGCTGGATTCCCACGTAGTCGACCATGGTTCACGTCCCGGACCCGGTGGCTTAAAATTCACACCGGGCACGTGTGCGTGCGTGCCCACGATCCCCAGAGGAGAATGGAGGAGAAGGGATTGTGGCGTGACCATCCCCCCTGGGGGGTGATTTCTCGCTTTCTGTCTCTATGTCTCTCTTTGTCTGTCTGGTGAGCGCATGCGCCCTGTAGCGAAAACCTCTCAAAAAAAAAAAAAAATGCTAGCGGTAAGATCAGTTCTCTGGATTGCTGGATTACAGTGTGGGACATAGTTTATGTAACAAAAAGAATTATTTATGGAGCCAGCAGGTGACATGGTGGTTAAGGCAGCTGGATTCCCACATGGTTGACCACAGTTCAAGTTCTGGACACGGTGAGTTGAAAATCTACTGGACATACTTGCATGCATACCGAAATCCCAAGAGGAGAATAGAGAAGGGATTGTGGCATGACCGATCCCATGAGAAGTGCTTTCTCTTTCTCATTCTCCTCTCTCAGTCTGTCTCTTTCTCCCTGGTAAGCACAAACACCATCTAGAAAATTAAAAACAAAACAAAACAAAAACAGGCCAGTCAATCAATGATGGTTAAGGCAGCTGGATCCCACATGGTGAACTACGTGGCTTGTAAAACATTTCAGGCACACGTGCATGCACACCCAAAATCCCAAAAGGAAAAATGGAAAAGAAGGGATTGTGGTGTGACCACCTCACAAGGAGGAAGCTCTCTCTCTCTCTCTCTCTCCAGTAAGCACATGTGGCCTCTAGTAAATTTTTAAGAAACAAAACCCTTTTTCTCCCTCTCTTTCTCTCTCTTGCTCTCTCTCCCTCATTTAAAAAAAAAAAAATTACATGTTGCTTGTTTCCATGGTCCTTAGAAATGAATCCAGCCCAGTCAGACTCCCATTTCTTGTAATGTCCTGAGGTAGGAGACACCAAATCTTATACCCTAAAGACAATGGAAATCGGAGGTACACAACATAATGCAATATTCTTTATTGAATATTATGAATAAGGTGATAGCCTTGATTTAATCATCACCTTGTGCGTGCATGCTTTGAAAATCCACATTGTACTCCAAGGAATACAAGTGTCAGTAAGAAATTATAAAATGAAAAGACATTTTTAAAATTTACCAGACATATTTTAGAGTTGTTATTATGATGATAATGGTGATGTCTTGGGGTCACAGTCTTAAAAAAATAACTCCTGGGGGCTAGCAGATGGTGTGGTTAAGGCACTGGACGCACACATGGCTGACTGCAGCTCAAGTCCCCAGCCTGGCGGTTTGAAGCCCATCCCACATAAAATTCACAGGCACACACGTGTGCATGTCCAGAATCCCAAGAGGAGAATAGAGGAGAAAGGGTTGCGGCATGGCCATCCTCCCTAAGGGGGGGATTTCTCACTTTCTGTCTCTGTTTCTCTCTGTCTCTCCAGCAAACACACACACCCTATAACAAAAAGCTGTTTATACAAAATAAATAATTCCTGCTTCAGACATAATCATAGTGAGGAATGACAGATGAGAAAAGCTGTTTCTGTTTGCGCAAACAGAACTACAAGCAGTTTCTCCGTTGACGCGTGTGCCCTCAGAGCACCGCAGACATTAAGGAACGAAGTGGGCTCGCAGGAGCTTCTGTGGCTATGCCATCATGTGTGCTTCTAGCTGACTTGCAGACAGAAAGCTCGGAGACGTTTATGAGAAAGGAGAAGCTGTTGACTTCCTGCTTACACCAAATCAGAGTGAGTCATGCGAAACCGTCCTGAAGGAAGCAACTGCAGATTCGACAACAAACAGAACTCCGACGTTGCCACAACAGAAACAGCCGGGGCTTTCTCTTGATCTGTGCCCTTTCTGTTTAGTTCTGAATTAAAGGGAAAAGTTTGTAGGAAAACTGCTACATACAACCTTTGCAGAAAAGGAAGCTTGCAAAAATGTACATTCCAGTAGAAAATTCTCTCTACAGGTTTTTAGCTTGGTTCACTTATTCTAGGAATATGCCTCTACACTGGATGTTCAATTGAGACCAGCGTTTTGAGTTTCTTGTTTCATTTATTGAAAGAGGGATCATCATGCCACAATCCCCCAACCAGCCAGCCAGGATTTAAACCACAGTCTTCCTTGTGGTTCCAACACTGTGACACGACACCCTACATGGCCAGGCCTCTCAAGTTTTCTTTACCACTTTTTTTTTTTTTTTTTTTTTAAAGAGAATTTTGTTTTAGGGTGTGTGTCCTCACCAGAGAGACAGAAAGTGAGAAATCACCCCCAGGGGTATGGCCACACCATAATCCCTTCTCCTCCATTCTCCTCTTGGGATCTTGAGCGCACAAGCACATGTGCCTGGCGTGAGTTTTTTAAGCCGCCAGGTCAGGGACTCGAACCACAGTTGACTACATAGAGGTACAGCAATGTAACCATGACATCATCTGCTGGTCCCTTCTTTAAGTTCTACTTCCCTGAAAAAGTGTAACATTTAGAGATGGATGCTTATCAGAATAGAATCACTTTTCATTGCTTATCTTCATTTACTATAATTTTGTTATATAATTCATTATTCATATTTTGTGGGTTTTTTTTTTTAATTTTTTATTCTTAAAGTCGTTTTCTACTACCATTCACTAAAAGCATCCTACTGGCGCAATGTAATTCAGATGTTCATGCTGTGTGGTGCAGTTTAGGAAACAGTCCACCTAGAGTTTGGGCCATTATAGCACATCCCACTACAGCAGTGAGCCGTTCTGCAACAAGCATTGCACTTTTATTCTGAGACAATCTGCATGTCTTAAATCCAAGGATAAACTTCATAGGTTTTTGAGCAAGAGGTAGTGTGGAGGTGAAGGTGTTGGATTCCCACATAGACGACTGTGGTTTGAATCCGGGACCTCAGCTTGAAAATTACACCAGGAGGGGACCAGCAAGTGGTGTGGTGGTTCAAGCGTTGGACACTCCCACATGGCCAACCACAGTTCAAGTCCTGGATCTGGCTTACATTCTCACTTTCCCTTTCTTTCTCTCCCTCTCTCTCTCTGTGTCTCTCCCTGGTCAAATTAAAATAAGTGAATGAACAAATAAAATTAAATTGAAATAATTTTTAAAAAAGAAAAAGAAAAAGGAAATCACACCAGGCATGTGTGTGCGCATGCCCAAAATCCTAGGAGGAAAATGGAGGAAAAAGGATTGTGACCTGGCCCTCCCCCCCAGGGGTGATTTTTCACTTTCTCACTCTGTCTCACTCTGGCAAGCAAACAGGCCCTATGGCAAAAACCTGCAAAAACAAACAAAATGTCATAGGCTTTATGATGACTGTTAATATTTATAAACAGTCATCATGGAGCCAGCAGGTGGCGTGGTGGTTGGGATGCTGGACTCCCACATGGCTGACTGTGGTTTGAGTCCCAGACCTGGTAACTTCTTTTCTCTCTCTCTGATGATTATATCAAGTTAATAATAACAAATAAAATAATATTTTTTAATTAATCATTTTGAATATTATAATAGTGATTCTACATGTTAAATATTTACGTTGTTAATTTAATATTCAGTTATCTACTCTTTGAGAGATTAAAGATATATAATTATTCCTTTGAAAAGGTTTCTTGGTATTTTAAGTAGTGAAACAATAAATATAAACATCCAGTATTGAGATGTAATTTAATGGCATTAAGGCTTCCAGTGGAAGGGCCAGCAAGTGGCATGGTGGTTAAGGTGCTGGACACTCCCATATGGCCAACCACAGTTTGAGTCCCGGACCTGGTGACTTGCTTTCTCACTTTCCTTCTCTCTGTGTGTCTATATTTCTCTGGTTAAATTAAAATAAATGAATGAATAAACAAAATAAAATAAATAAATCTTTTTTTTAAAAAAGTTTCCTGTGGACATGTATAAATTAGGTCTACCACTTGAACCTTGTTAATGGTATGCAACTCAACATAGTTATGCATAATTTAAAATTGTTAAAAGGTCTTAACACACGTTGTAAAGATTCACTGACATCTCATGAGAAGCCTTGGAAAACTTTTTAACTGATTTAACTTTTCTTTTTCTTTTTTTTTTGGAGCAGTTTTTGCTATAGGGTGCATGTGTTCGCCAGAAAAACAGAGAGACAGAGAACACACCCCCCGGGGGGATGGCCACGCCGCAATCCCTTCTCCACCATTCTCCTCTCGGGATCTTGGGCACGCATGCACCTGGCGTGAGTTTAAGCCACCGGGTCCGAGTTGAACCGTGGTGGGCTACGTGGGAGTCCAGCAACATAGCCATTACACTAACTGCTGGTCCCTGATTTAGCATTTATTCAAAGTGCAACAAGTCGTCCTTAAAAGAACCCTAACATGGTCCAATCTGCATGTTTTTGGTAACAGCTTTATTGAAGTGTAATTCACACACCATACAACTCATCTATTTATAGTGGACAGTTCAATGGTTTTCATAGAATTCATAGAATTGTGTAACCGTCACCACAATCAACTTTAGAACATTTTCTTCACCCCAAAAACAAACTCTGTACCCTTTAGCTGTCACGCCCCAACTTCCCCCTTGTCCCCAGCCCTACTTTCTGTCGTAGATTTGCCTAGTCTAGACATCTCACATAAGCGGAAGCGTGCAATGTGTGGCCCTTTGTGGCTGGCTTCTTTCTCTTGCATCGATCAGGGCTCCATCTTTCCTCACGATCCCCGTATTTGGGTATAACCA